ATCGCTGGAAGGCATACTGTATAAAGTCTTGTTTGGCACATCTACTGGCCTTGCTCGGCTGGTTTATTATCGCATACACCGGGACTTGGATATTCTGGTTGTGACTCGGGTTGCGCTCTTCTAAGGTTGCTGGAACATCGCGCGGGCTGGTGCTGTCGTTTGGGTGCTCGCCAGGTAAGGTCATTCATACCTGCATCACTTCAGGGATTATCCGAACATATAAGCCCACAACCTCAATGTTAGCAAGGCTTATACCCCCAATAGGTCTATGATATGGAGTCCTGTTGATCATCGCCTTGGTTACGCAAAGTTCTATTCCCATTTCTCTGCTCGAATCCCTGCACATATACCCTTCAGTGTCTGTCTTGTCATATAGCTTGCTTTTACATTCCTTTTCTTTCTTTACTATATCCTTTCCTTTCTCGGCAGTCGCACTGTTCCTGTTAACCCTCGACGTCATCATCAATATCCGTGCCGATGGAGGCGACCCAGGAGTCCACCCAGCCATGCACGGACCCCCGCCGCATGGGCTACAACAATTCGGCCCTCCGCGAGGATGATTTGACGGACATTGTTTGTATCTTACACCCAAATTCTCCTGCAGCCCATGATGCTGTAGCCGCAACCGCGCGCCACGCTCCGCAGCACATCCTCCAAAGGGATGCGCTAGAATATGAATGTTCAGATACCGCAGCTTTGGACTTCGCTCTTAGACTGTCATCGGATGTGTATGACGCAAGCGCGGGCTTTTGCTTTGGACGGAACAGGGCTCGCTGCGATCTCCTCATCGCTGATGCTAATTCGAAACGTATTTCGAATACGCACTTCCGCATTTATCTCACGCAAGATGGTATCATAATGCTGGAAGATACCTCCACCAATGGAACGATCGTAGACAATTGCCGTCTTCGCAAGATCCAACGAGAGAAGAGTCGCATGCTGGTGAATGGATCCGTCATTCAAGTACCGAATGGCGAGGGGCAATTTTCGGAGGAAGTCAGATTCATCGTGCGCCTGCCGTCCCGGGAAGGCTTTGTTATGCAGTACACCGAAAACATGCTCCGCTACTTTGAAAAGGTTGAGACTCAAAGAGCAGGTACAGCGCAGCCCAGAGCCCGTACAACTTCCGCGCCGGCTCTGCAGATCGCGTCGCCCAATACGTACGGCATGCACTGGTCTGGCGGATCAACTTACAACGTGACGGGGCAAATAGGCAAGGGAGCTTTTGCAACCGTCTACAAACTCGCTACGAAGCAGCATGGGGCTGTGTATGCAGCTAAAGAACTCGACAAGCGCCGCTGGATGAAGAATGGCATTCTCGACAAGAAAGTTGACAATGAAATGCAAATTATGAAAGACCTGAAACACGTAAGTGATAACACATGCACTGAGAATCTGGATGCTCCTATTGACAACAGATGCCTTTCAGCCCAACATCGTCCAATACGTCGACCATCACGAGCATGACAGATGGATATACATCATCATGGAGTACGTTCCCGGTGGTGAGCTGTCCACGTACCTGCAGTCGCATGGCACGATCGCAGAGTCTCAGGTTCGAACTATGGCGCGTCAGATCTTGCATGCACTCCACTATCTGCATAAACGAAAGATCACGCATCGGGATATCAAGCCGGACAATATTCTGATTTCGTCTCTCGATCCCCTACGGGTGAAATTGTCGGACTTTGGCCTTTCAAAGGTAGTTCAGGAAGAGACCTTCTTGAGGACTTTCTGTGGAACTTTGCTGTACTGCGCCCCAGAAGTCTATCCAGAGTATGACACTTACCGGCGCGGTGAAATCCGGAAACGGCGCAGGCTGGGTGATCCGTAAGTCCCTAACAAACTATCCTCTGCCAAAGTTATGCTGACCATCAGGCCTCCAAAAACGTCCCCTTACGATCAATCCGTCGACATGTGGTCGCTTGGCGCCGTTCTCTTTCACCTTCTCTCAGGAGTCCCTCCTTTCGCTCCTCGAGGAGATGATCGTGGAGCTCAGATGCTGCGAATCATCATGACCGAGGATGCCGATTACAGTGCACTTCGCAAGGCAGGCGTCTCTGAAGATGGAATAGACTTTGTCGCCCAACTTCTGAATCGTGACCCTCAGTCTCGCCCCAACGAACGAGAATGTTTTAGGCACCCGTGGATTGCAGGCGTTGCGGACATCGACGATTATGATGACGAGGACTTGTTTCTGGGTGTCCCAGATGAGCTTTCTGATATAGGCGAAGATCTCGAGGATGAAATAGACGCCTCCCAACTATCGTTGAATGATAAGCCGGCGGCGGAAGTCGCCGTTGAGGAGGATGATGAATTGGCCCAGGCTAAGAAAATCAAGCTTGAATATCCCCCGGAGGAAATTCGCTATCCGTCGCTGCCCAGTCTCGACAGTTTCCAGGCTGTTCAACCGGTTTCTCAGTCAACTCCTAAACGACTTTTTGGTGAGATCACGCCATCCATACTTCGAAGTTCACACGCGTTGGGCGACAAGGTTGATGCATATGAGGGTGACGACTTTGGCCTCCATGACTTCGTTTCTTCAACTGGTGAGTCGATTGTCAGCGACGGCAACAGCCTTAATTCCATCCTCTCCCTTCCGGAAAACCCCGTCGCCGGGTCTGCACCTAGCTTAATGGGAGCTGAGAACCTTGTTGGGCAGCTGAACATGAACTCGTCGCACCTTGGCTTGAACAACATTCCCCGCCACGTCGAGGCGCTGGGGCCGCAAACTAGCGTGGCCGCGGAAGCCCCGAAGGACAAAGCCCCAGAGGCGCCCCCGCAGACCACTATCGATGATGAAACCCCTAAGGCTTCGAAATTCAACCGGCGAATTGAACTCCCCATACCTGATACTGCCAGTGAGCGATCGAGTCCGGAAGCGACAACGGGAAAGACCAACGACGGGTGTGCTGAGCCCGAAGCTGCCCCTGGAGAGGTCTTCGACATTGAGTTGGCAAATACTATCGATGCCAAAACCGGACAGCGACTCCCTGACTTGCCGAGAAGGGAAGACAATCAGCCTTCCGCCCAGCCCGAGTCCGACCAGATGCCAGGCCCAACCCCCAGTTTTTTACTGCAGCCCGGCAAAGCACGCCCTCTCCTTGGAAAGCTGACCACTCTCCCCGGGTCCATCTTTGAGCTTACAATTCCGTTGGAAGCTAGGATGACATCCTGGGGCCGCGGTCCCCAAGCCACTATCTGCTATCCCGAGCCAATGGATACGCGGATACCTGCATATGCGTTGGAGGTTACCTTTTGGGCCCCAGCTATTGAAACCAAAATTGCCGCTGGACACGATTGGATGACTGTCCCCGGCGTGATGGCCATTCTTTCGACCAAAACCCGAAAGTGTATATGGGTCAATGGGACCGAGCTGCGACGTGGGCCCGAGAACGACAATGGCGGGGAGGGCTTCCATTTCGGCAAGCTGTATACCGGCGATGTCATTACCGTCTACCAACATCGGAACAAATTCTTGAAATTCGCGTGCGAATTCTATCATGGAGACAGTGCGCGTTCGCGTCCGGATGAGGAGAAAGGCTTCGCCGTGCGCAAAGTCCTGATGCCCAAAGAGAAGGCGGCCAACCGACAACCCGTGCGGAAGACTCCGCATGGGAAGAAGTAGGTTCAGTGTGGTAGCAGTATGGTTCGCTGGCTGAGTTGCGACTGGCTGCAAAGGTATGGTGTAATGTCCCTTGCGTGGACTGGAGTTGTATGTATCTGTTATGTATGGGTTGCATCTTCGTTTGGTCTTGGGGGGGGGAAACGAATGGGGTGGCTTAGTATTGATTTTGGCGTTTTGTGCATATACATAATGATCTGGATATGATATGGTCAGGAGGACATTAAAAAGGAAAAAAGACTACTCTCAGTCAATGCATGTACGAACATCAATCACATGGATATCTATGAATCAAGGATACCACTATCTTCTACAAGCTCAGCTAGGGACGTCTGAGGCAGGTTATATTATATCGTAATAGAAGTAAATGAAAATAGTGCCATCGTCCATCCCAGTGCCGTCTGATGCCGTGGTATAATGTCTCCTGGTGCAGGAACAGCTAACACTAGTGGTTAAGACCTGTTGCTACTTGGCGCAGCAGCTGGAATAGATAGATCACACTTTGTAAGTCTGTCAAACCCTAGCTTTGTTCTCGAGCTAGTTGTAGCCGTGAATCGGTCATGACACTCTGCAAACTTCAACAAAACAACGTGAAGCCTGAGAAAGACAGTATGTGCAAATCAGTCGGGGATCAATATTCTGAATTTGGACGTAGCCAGCTAGACGGGCAAGTCAATCAGACCATTTTCCCTGGCCTGATTTTGTCTCTACTTCAAGACTGAGACCAGATTTCGTGGTCCAGGTAAAGTGAAGAGGGATCAAGCCAGCGGTATGAGGTGCTCATCACTGACTTCGGTTCCTATGGTCAAGGTTCCTCTGGTCTAGGAGAGGAGATAATATACGCGTTCTGGGTACGTGCGATCTGGTACTAGCTTCCGTGCTGGTGATGTTTGTCAGATCTTTCCATCACTGTCATCTTATATTGCCACTGAAGTGAACGTATCGATGATTGAGTATGTTCAATATCTCAGGGCTCGTATTCAACTCTCAGTTATATTATGGGTAAGTATCTATAATATTAACCATCTAGTCCTCCCTGATTACGCAGTTGAATGATAATAATTATCATGTTGAGTGTACTTCTTCGTGGGTGGGCTATTACCCCGGCAACTGTCTGATAGCTAGAAAGTTGATCTTAAGGCTGTGGGTGACCCCCACCAGGAGCTTTCTTTTTCTTTTTTCTTTTTTTTCTCCCCCTACTTGCCTCCTCTGCATTCCAACCTTTAAAGGAATACCCTTTTACAAATATGTGAGCACTTTGCTTCATGGCTACATGAGGGCTTTTTTTTTTTTTTTCCTTTTCCTAATCTCAGGCACCAATTGCAGCAATGCAAGCTCATATTCCATAAAGATTGCGCCGCCACCCACCAAGCACGCCCCTGTGGCGCAATCGGTAGCGCGTAAGACTTGCAAGTACCCCTTACCAATAACACAACCTATGAGTCTTCCACTAACTGTCTTAAAGCTAGAGAGTTGATCTTAAGGCTGTGGGTTCGACCCCCACCAGGGGCTTTCTTTCTTTCCTTTTTTTCCCTACATAGAATATATAACTATGCCCGACACAAGGCCTTCTTTTTCATGTTTGGTGTCACTTAAATTTTAAGACATATTCTCTCCCTTCATAACTCCTTTTGTAGACTGTTGGTCGGTTTCCCGGTAATTTGTAGTATACTGCTACCGAGTTCAAGATATTTGCTCTACCCACACCACATTCCGATGATATTGTTCTGCCCGAGAGAGATATGGTTTCAAGTAACTAGTAGTTAGTACCCACATTAGTACCGGCACACCAGCACATCTCAGGGGAGCTGCATTTGCTACCACATGTAACAAAATGAATCAAAGAATATATACATCATCAACCTCGCAGATACACCATGTACTATTAATCCCATAGTATAATAACATTAAGCTACAAGGATTCTTCGTTCTCATACTAGTAGTCAGACAGCCAGCTCGTAAGATTAATCATCACAATAAATAATGACATCTGTTGCCAATATCTCTTCATTCAAGCTTTATCGAAGAACTGATAGTAGTGCATCATGAAGACTTGTTCAATCCACCTCAATGGCTTAGGTACATCTTCTATTTGATGACTTGACAGTTCACAACCCCAGATAGAAAACCCCGTTGATGTAAGCGCGAAGCTTGCAGTTCCAATTGCACCGGTCAGAAGAGTGGGACAGCACTACATAGAGTCACTGGCTGAGATGTGATAATTATTGCTGATACTAAATGCCCAGTCAGATGTTGGTTTTGTGATAATAATAATAAGGTCAACTCCCCCTTGAGGTCTGAGATGGACGCTGAATGTTCACCGCAAGGAAGAAAGGGGGAGTTTTACCAGATGGAACAGCACATCAACACACGATTACCGAGGCAGTGGACTGACTAGTATATGCTCCACGCCTATATCGTTCCAGCGAGGAATGAGCCCTGCAGTACTCTCACTACCAATATAGATACACCGTCTCGGGGATTATGATGATTTCTCCAGTGATTTCTTCGCTAGAACACCCACCAAGCTGTTATCCCTAAACACCATACCAATAGCTGAATTGGTTGTATAGGCAGAGGGCGGAATCATTATGAGCTTTAAAGCCTGAGGTTGTATACACACCCATATAGTATATTTCTTCCAAAGCATGAAGCTAAACTTTGATAAACATCTTCCCATCTGGAGATAGAATAGAATCCTACCCTAGTAATTCGTCAATAAGTGGTGCTCCGTCTGGTCTTTGAGTTCATAGAGCGATACTTACTATCTCGGATATTTTTGTTCTTCTATATACTAATGCTTTTCACGCCCTACCGCTTCATGTCTGTCACCGGACCCAGCGATTACGGGATGTACAGGAGTGACACCCACAGGGCCAAGAAAACCTTCGTCTATAACTCTGGCTGTAATGCCTTGAAGGATGCTCGTGGGAGCTTTGTCCATTAAGAGGATTTTATACTATATAAATACTGTTGATCAGTGCCAAATCTTTTCAGTTATCTATGGCCTAGTAATAGTAATGAGCTGAAATAACGTAATAATTCATATAAGTCAGCCATTTATTTATTTGTTCAATTTTGGTTTCTAATTACCCTACTTTAGTAGGGATTTTGGCTGACCTAGTAAGCCTTAGAATGATGAACGAGGAACTACTTGCTAGAAGAGGGCCTGGAATCGACTGAGTCTGTGAAACCCTCCACCCGTTGGCAATGATACGAGGGAGCGTTCCCTGGTTCGCCAGGTGGTGTCTATTCACCATGAATAATAAGCGACGCCGGAAGCAGACAGGTCCAAGAAACACATTATCTGGAACTGTCAATGATCCTGAATCGTGGGAGATCGTGAGGTTTCCCGATGCGTCCAAAACCCACGATGGAAGCAGAGTCATATTACTACGTATCTACCAGTACCACCAAGCACCAACAGGTGACCCTGACCGCTCAACCGAAAGACCGAGTGGGTCACTCTTTTTCCATGTGGATCTTGGAGATTAGTTTCTTCCTGCTAATCTAGTCGGTCTCTCTCTCTAGCAGTTCTTCCATCTTCGCCGAACCGGAACATTGCTCGAACGTGTCCCACCGCGGTGCTTCTTTGTCGCATCAGGGGGGATTGACGGATGTGAGATAATCGTCTCGAGCCGGCGTGGCCAACTCCTTCAGTTGCTCGCAAAGTAATCTTCAAATGAGCAGCTCCTCAACAAATTGCCAGGCTCCAACCGTTCGTTTCGGCGTCTGCGCGAGAAGCTCAAGCGAGGGGGCGGGGCTGATTCTAGGAATTAATTAAACTAATCTGCTTCTTTTGCAGTTTAATCTCCTTCCTCCCCACCACCAACGAATGATGCTCTGTCGGAGCACCTCATCCTCCCGGGTCGCTCATAACACACAATGTGACAATGCTCGACTCATTGGGTGGTCATCCTGATAGCCATGGCTCGGATTCCATCCATGGTCCTCGAGCGGAATGTCTTACTCGGCGATAAGGGGAGAGGGAGTCGCACCCTCATCGCTGCCTCATGGGTGTTGGTTGACCCTTGGATCCCATCCTTCCATTCTTCAACCAGTTCTCCGGGGCACCCCCTAGCGCGCCCTTGGAACTGGTACCGTTGACCTGACAAGTGGCCCTCAAAGCAAAAAAGGTCCCAAACGAAAGCGGACAGACCCCGTTTGCGGATGGGTTCTCTGTTCCTGGATTATTGTTTCGGCCTTTTTGGCGACTTGGTGATCCAGTTTTTTATCAACCACCATGTCATGCTATTCCTCTTCCGTCGTTTCGAGCTGGTGACTCCTGAACCGAAGAGTAATTTTACTTTAATTCCTAATTCTCTTAATATTTTTCTGCTTCGATAGCGATCTGTTACTTCACTAACCCTATCTCCTACACCTCCGCTCCAAACCTCGTCCTCTTCCTCCTGCTGCGCTCCTTATTTTCCCCCCTCTCAAGTTGCGGGCGCCCGTTTCAAAGAAAGACATCTCCCATTGACCTCCTCCACAGCGGCCCTCTGCCGAGCACGAACTCCCCAATCACGCCCGCCTGTGGCTGCTCCGCGGGCCGTTGCCCTTCCTGCCGGCATCCCTGTTCGGTCCCCCGACTCCCCGCTCCATGTCCTTGTCGCGATCGCCCTCTCCCCACCCCGCGGGAGCAGGATGGTCTAGTCCTGGCCTCACCTCGCCCAGTGGCTCTACGACGCCGCACAATGGTTTCTTGTCGCCAAATCCCATAGGCGCCAGCGGCATCTCTTGGGCCGCCGCCAAAGCGAAGAGCGACGAGGTACGAGGCTATCCGTCCTTTTCGACGAAGAACAGCGGGTTCTTCTCGCGCTCCAGACGCCAGCTTTCCGCCACTCTTCCGCGCTTTCGTCTGGGCTCGGGGTCTCCGAATGGCTATGTCGATAAAGATGAGTTCGGCCGGGGACGGCCTCTCTCCCCAGCCACGAGCTGGCGCTTGGGGTTCGGCAGGTCGATCCTGCGGCGCAGACGATCGCGCTTGCTCGTGGCGCTGATCTTTCTTTTGCTGGGTTATATGTTTTTCGGAGCGTGTAAGTGAATCGCATACTTGTAGGAAGGGAGCCTGCAAATAGCTGACCTTGTGTTGTAAGCTCTTCTGCAGAAATACCGGCGCTCGCCGCTAGGCGGTGGGCGTAAATTCGTGATCATCCTAGAGTCTAACATAGAAGGCGGCGTGATGGAGTGGAAGGGCGCGCGCGAATGGGCGATCGAGCGCAACAGCGTGTGGAACAAGAAGAACTATGTCGAGCGATGGGGCTACGAGTTGGAAACCGTCAACATGTTGGCGAAGAAGCGATACTCGCACGAATGGCGCGAGAGCTGGGAGAAGGTGGACCTTATCCGGGAGACGATGCGAAAGCATCCCGATGCTGAATGGTATGTTTTGGCGAACATTCGGTATCACGAGCGCCACTGACTCTCTTGCGCAGGTTTTGGTGGCTGGACCTGAATACCTGGATCATGGAATACTCTTACTCGTTACAAGAACATATATTCGACCGCTTGGATGAGATCATCTACCGGGATATCAATGTCTATAATCCGCTGAATATCAGCCACCCGCCGGACGACGCTTACTTGGACGAGGTGTCTCGTTCACCCAACGGAGACGGGGATCCATCATCGGTACATCTGCTCTTGTCGCAGGACTGTGGGGGCTTCAACCTCGGCTCTTTCTTCATCCGGCGCTCCCTCTGGGCCGACCGCCTGCTGGACGCGTGGTGGGACCCCGTCATGTACGAACAGAAACACATGGAATGGGAGCATAAGGAGCAGGATGCGATGGAATACCTATATGCGACACAGCCGTGGGTTCGCAGCCATGTCGGCTTCCTCCCTCAGCGCTATATCAACTCGTATCCCCAGGGGGCTTGTGGGGACGAGAATGACCGGACTGTGCACTACCAGGAGGATGAAAGAGACTTCCTGGTCAACATGGCCGGGTGCCAGTTTGGACGCGACTGCTGGGGCGAGATGTATCAGTACCGCGAAATCAGCAAGCAGCTGAACCAGACCTGGTGGGAACGGATGAAGGACAAGCTGAACGGCCTTTATGAGAAGCTTTTCCCTGGCGAGGAGCAGCAGGTGGAATAAGTCTGCTGCCGGGGCATGACATGTTAGCTATTGCTTTGATGTTTACTGCAGATGATGACTGGTCTGAGAGATGACCATGTAAAATGCGGACTACTAATAACGACCTGTGACGGCGTATGGGATGGATTTTACGTTTCTGGATATTTCCTGCTTGGCGAGGCGTTTGGTGTTAGCTGGTAACTCTTTAGATATTGTAGCTCATCTACTACCTACCTACCTACCTACCTACCTTTGTATTCAGTCCAGTGCAATCAAGAAGTATACTCTAGTAAACTATAACTCGACTAAACAGCCAGCTTAGTAACAATACAAGATTCAACCACGTGACCTAATACAGCACACCCGGCCCCTCTCGTCCACCGCATCTCCTCCCTTCCGACCGCCCACACCCTCCAACCAATCAAATCACCGCA